TCGATCACGTGGATTTCGTAAATATATGCAAAAGAACCCGCTCACAAAAGGACCCAACGGGTACTTTTGCATTTGGCACAAAAATACCCATTTTGAGGGGTACTTATGTGGTCACATAAGTACCCCTGGGTACTTATGTTCGAGATGGGTATAGATGTGACGAAAAATGGGTACTTATGTGGAAAAGGGCCACAAAGGGGTACTTATGTGCCGAATCCGGGTACTTATGCTATTCTAAGCTCCCTTATATACATAGTTTTTGCAATTTGGACGTTTGGAAAATTAATTATAAAGAAATATTTTTAATGCTAATAATGCTTACCAGCAAAACATAAGAATTATCTTAAGGTTCTCTCCTTATTTGCGCGCCTCATGGTCCAAAAAAAGAAGTCTGCATCCGTACATATTCCGATCTGAAAACAAGCAATCTGAAAGATATATACGTGATACAGAAATAATTTTTCCAAGCTATCTCTCTCTCTCTCTCTATTAAAATATTTGTTCATAATTATGTATTTACCTGTACAAAATTTTCCCTACCTTTCGCTGGCCGCGTGTGCGAGAAAATCCTGAGCGCCCCTGGGATGACGGTGGACACAAATTTTGGGAGAATTGATTCTTTTGATTTCCGTCTTCGTTTTCGGCGTCGTGTTGCACGTCTCTCAAGGGAAAAGACGTTTTAGCGTTCTACGAGATTCACTAAATGGCCGGTCTGTCACAGAAATCGAACGGTAATCGGTAATCCCAAAAAACAAGTAAATCACAACGTGGTTTCACAACAACGACTTTGCTGCCATGTTTGTTGTTTGAGAGGAACAAGTCGAACCATGCCAGATGTGGGCAAAAATGGCGTTTAAACTACTATGACGCGAAGGTCACATGCTTTTACAATCTTTAATTATAACGATTTATGAACAAAGTTAAATTTGATATTTAATGAGTAATCATATTGCGAGCATTGAATGATGGATGCTTAAATTTTTATCTACAGAAGGGTGTATCCACGGGACATTTGAGATGAATTATGATCAGCTCCAACTTTTGGAATCATATTCTCATTTTTACATATTTTATAGGTGTTGATGACATGTTTCAGAATCCAAAATTTCAGGTCTAAATTTTGAATTTCGCCGGATTTTGGAAAATTTTGAAATGAGCATATTCTCGCTTAAAAATGAAAATAATAAGAAACCATTTTCACGTTCGTAACTTTTCAATGCAAACAACTTTTCCAATGACCTCGAGGTCATAGGTCAACTTTCAAGGTCACTAATGACTCCGGCGAGTAATTAAAAAAAACTAGAATTTCTCATCTACCCATGGATAAGGAAGTGTTAAATAAAAAAAAGGTAGCCAAAGTGTACAATCACATACTAAAAATTTGGGATGGTATGTTTTTTAGTTTTTGAGATATTTTCATCCGAAGTTTAAAAATTGGCAAAATTTGGGTTCTGCAAGACGTAAAAGAAACCAATTTTTGGGCAAAATTTATCTTTTTTCATGTTTTATATCACTTAATAACCCGAAAAATGTATTCTGGTGCCATTTTATCGCAAAATAATTGAAAACTGGAAATTTCACTAATAAAAAACAGTAAATTTTGCCAATTTTTAAGCTTTCGGATGAAAATATCTCAAAAACTAAAAAACACAGTCCCAAATTTTTAGTATGTGATTGTACTCTTTGGCTACCTTTTTTTTTAACACTTCCTTATCCATGGGTAGCCTCGATGAGAAATTCTAGTTTTTTTTAATTACTCACCGGAGTCATAAGTGACCTTGAAAGTTGACCTATGACCTCGAGGTCAGTGGAAAAGTTGTTTGCATTGAAAAGTTATGAAAATATGTGAAAATGGTTTCTAATTATTTTCATATTTAAGCGAGATATGCTCATTTCAAAATTTTTCCAAAAAAACCCAAAATCCGCCGAAATTTTCAAAATTTTGACCAGAAATTTTGGATTCTGAAACATGTCATCAACACCTATAAAATATGTAAATATGAGAACGATATGATTCTTAAAGTTGGAGCTCTTAATTCATCTCAAATGTCTCGTGGACGCACCCGGAATTTATTTAGATTTTGTGAAAATATTGAAGTTTCAAATAAAATTAAAATTTTTACTGCTCTCTGTCACTCGCAATTCAGATATAATTATACATACATAAATATCAATATGTAGATAAATTGATTTTTTATTTATAAAAATTTCAATGGCGCGTTTTATTATTACAATAATTAAATATAAAAAATGCATTAGTATAATGATTATTATTATTGTAAATTCCAAGTTCATCATCCGTTTGATTATTTTCACTTCCTAATATTAATTTTAATCTATAATTTGTATAATTTATTTTCAGTGTGTCCCATATCCCTCATTTTGTATTTTTAAAATAAATTTGCCCATTAAGCCATGAGATCAGAATACAAATGTTTGTTATAAGTCCAGATGAAATACCATTTTCAACCTTAATTCAGTTATAAATTATATCCTTACGTATTTTCAGGGATTTACTTTATTGCTCTTTTTTTCGTCCAAATTTTCATGCGGATTTTATAATATAATTTTCTGAACCATTTTTTTTTCAGAATTCTCCGCCTTTATTCTGACCACACAATTCTTAATCCCTCTTTTGACCCACTTTTTATACAGCTTTTATGAACAAAATATTTCAATCCCTTTTTAAACCTAAATTTTAATCACCTTTTATGGACAATAATTTTAATCCCCTTTTAAACCTTATTTTTCTTCCGGCTTTCTGAGGAAAATTTTGTAACCTATTTTATGACCAAAAAAGGAGAAAATTTTCGTCGCGTAAAATTTTTAAGCAGTTTTCGGCCACATTTTTATTTTAATCCCCCGCCTTTATTCCCATATTCTGATACTTTTCACCAGAAAGCATTTTGTGAGGATCATTTGCTGGTTCTATAAATTTTAGTTATAGCGTGTGAATATCCCTAAAATAAATTTTAGTTGGCGCTACGTGACTATGATGAAGAGATCAAGCATGTTTGGTGTTCGCCCTGCTGCGTGGAATTTTTGCGAAGCCGCGCGCTTCAGATGCCTTAGTGACGAATTTCTTAAATTTTCTCCATTCCCTTGACAAAGCTATTTTTTTTATATCATGTAAAACCTTGACGGTGTATCGCACCAAATGAACCGAGGCCTGCAAAGGACTGCTTAACACATATATTTTTTCCACTTTTTCATACAAATTAATTTTTAATTAATTATAGCGGCCCTGCAGGACAATGAGTGCAAAATCTCGGCTGCGCGCTTAAGGCAAATTTTCAGTTTCGTCGATTTAAAAAAGGGCTTAAAAAATACTTACGAATGGGTGCCAGACGGTAGCCTCTAATTTGGACGTAGAATTCCACCGTCCTCGTCCTTGACGGAAACAACGAGTGGTATCCCGATGGGCAGCGACTGAGCATCCACACCAACAAAGTGGTCCGCTCTGTACCACTTCTTGAAGGATTTCTGACCGCGGGAATCGCGGCTCGGCGGGACTTCTGCCTTCAGTTGTAGTGCAGCCAGGCGGTGGACAGATTTGGAAAATGCTTTACCCATTGGTACGTTTCCTAGATGGCGTTGTCTAAGGAGAGTAAAAGATGGAGGAGATGCGGAAGGGAAGCTACCTCCTAGGAGACCAGCTCGCTGATTGGCTCTGGACCAGTTTAACAATAGGAGGCTCCTCCTCTGCGCGCCTCCTCTACCTTTTACTCTCCTTTTACGTTGTCGCTCGTCATCTCCGCGGCTGGAGTAGCGCTGATTTGGCGCTGATTTTTAAGAAAGAAAATGTTGTAGCCAAAGAAATTTACTTTTCTTTTTGTAATAAGTCATTTTGATGACATATAATATTTTTAATTCTAAATCAAAAAATTCTTCCAAATTAATTTATTATTTGATATGCGCTATAATTTTAATATAATTTTTTCCATTTTTTCAACACAGCCAATCAATTCTTCGTTTAGTTTAACTCCTAGAACTAAATTTTCGTACAAAAATATTAAGCGATTAAAAAGTTTCAAAATAATTAGTTACGAAGGTGTGCCTTAATGAAGGCTAAGCGGCACATATAAGTAAATATTTTCTGATAAAATAAACGCCTCGGAAAACGTTTTTTTTTCAATTAAATTAAATTTTTTCTAAACGTAAAATCAGACGCAGAACTGATCAGCAATATTGAAAAAATTAAAAAAAATTATAATATAAAAAAAAAATTTAATTTTCAATCCCTAGCTTAATTTAGATATTAATTAATTCATTTTAATGATGTAGCACTCAAGACTGAGACTTTAAATAGAATTAAAAATTACATTTATATTTTAAATCAAACACACCTTACAATTAAAAATATCCTTATAAAATTTAAAAATAATATAGATTTTTAAAATACACGATTAAAAAGCAATGTCCCCCAATTCTTTTTTATTTAAAATTTCTGAAAAAACTCATGAATACAAGTCATAGACCCTCTACGTACGTGACTTGGTCAGCTGGTTTTATTACAAAACTTTTATTTAAAAATTTTAAAAGTGTACCACATTTTATTGGGTCGTTACATAAGCAGTTGAGTTTACGCTCAATTTTGAACCATGACGTTCACAATGCAAGAGGGATGAACAATTAAAAAATAATATAATGATATGCTTAAAGAAATACTCTTTTCCATTTTCGCGCTGAAAAGAGCAAACTCCAACCCATTATTTTGCATTGATTTGATTGGATGTCGTTTTGTTGTCATGTGAAAATGACGTCAATCGTGTGTAGACTGGTGTAGACCATGAAGGTTACGAAAATGTTTTTCTTTGCTTTTAAGCCGCAAATATGCATTTAAACTCGTCAAAATGTGGCGAAACATAAACACTTTCTTCAATTGATAGCATTTAAAATGCATTTTGAGTAAATAAGATAAAAAATAGTTGACTTAACCAAATCTACTTTCTGTCGCGGAGTTGGCAGCACTTGTATTTTGCAAGGACTTCCTATTGTTTTGAGTATTCCTCCGCTATCAGCCGAGGAGACTCATCGAAGCTCTACGACGCAGTTCAACCAGCGAGATATCCTACTTTATTCCGACAGTTTTCCAGTTTGACGCAGTCAAAATGAAGTTCCAGTACAAGGAAGAGCACGTCTTCGAAAAGAGGAAAGCTGAGGGCGAAAAGATCCGACGAAAATACCCTGACAGGGTGCCTGTAAGTGTTTGTTTTTGGTGTTTCCGAATGGCCTATGCGAGCTCCACTTAAATCGATTTACAGTTTTCGCTTCTGTACGCAATTAATTTTTCATGAATTTTTATTATCTTGGATGAAGATTTATTCTGATGGCAACACAATCGCGTATTTAACAAATGCCCATATGTTTGAAATTTTTGATTGAGTTTAAAACATTGCATCACGGAAGATAATTTTAACCCTCGAGAATCGACAGAGACAGCTGTGCGAGAGTCGCTTTTACTATCAAGGCCCCGTGCACAGTCATTGTGCAAGTGAAGCATTACATGCAATACATACTTCAGAATTTAAATCATATTAAATAATTCAGGTTATTACTTTGTAGAAACATTTATATTAATTATATACCATTTGATAAAAATAATAATTAAAAATTAAAACAGATTTGATAAGATCACAGAGTATTAAATTTTAAATCCAAATAGTACAATTTCTATATATTGCTTTGAAGAATTTATTTTGCACTCAAAATAAAAGGAATTACATCAATTTTATCATTTTTCAAGGTGATTGTGGAAAAGGCGCCGAGAGCGCGCATCGGTGACCTCGACAAAAAGAAGTACCTGGTTCCCTCTGACTTGACTGTTGGCCAATTCTACTTCCTCATTAGGAAGAGGATCCACCTGCGCCCTGAAGACGCCCTCTTTTTCTTTGTCAACAATGTCATTCCACCAACCAGTGCCACTATGGGATCACTTTATCAGGTTTGTTTTGTCCTCGTATGATTCATACAAATCATATTTGATTATAATTAAATCGAGCCGTCTGCTGATATCAAAAGGCACAAATCAAATAAATATTTGATTTTTTTTCTAGAACGCTTCTTGATTTTTGAAAAATTTCCATGTTGGTTTTGAGTAGTTATTTGATATTATTCGTCAAAAGCTGAAGCCTTATTTTATCATTTAAGAAAATATTTGTGTTCAATATTATTCCTTTTTTTAAATATAGTTATCCTTGTTACAGGAGCACCATGAAGAGGACTTCTTCCTCTATATTGCCTACAGCGACGAGAATGTCTACGGCCAATAATAGATGTGCTATTTACAGCAGGGACAAACATTGCGATTAATTTTATCTCAATCTTTTTTGTGATGTTCTCGCTCTTCTAACTCTTTTATTCTTTTACTTTTCTGTATCTGTGCGCACGAGTGAGTCATTGTTATGATGCAAACAAACTATTTTGGGCAAACTTGAGTTTGTGTTAGAAGAAATAGCTGTAGCACTATACTTTCCTTTTTAAAAGAGAACCATTTTTGACTTTTAAGATATATGGATGATAACTATACTGTTTCATGATAATTCAAATTTCTGTATAACGATAATGTTGGAATGGAGAATCACGTCTGGTCTCATCTTTGAGGGATGAAAATTGTTTGGAGTGTGGATATTGGATCATATTATCTAGTATTTTGATCTGGGGATCAGAGAAGTTGAAATAAATGGAAAAAAATCTAGTTATAAGCTGCTGTAAATTGAAAATTGAAAAATGTTATAAAAATGTAAAAAAAAGGTGATAAAATATTGAAATAAAAATTCTAGGCTAAGAAAAAATTTATACTTTTTTTTATCCGATCTCCCTTAATCTGTGTTTATTTAAAAAAAAAGTCAAGCCAAAGAGCCTTGATAAAAAAAAAATTAAATATCAAAATAAAATAAATACACTCAAAAATACACTGGTGACGATAAAATCTGACGATGTTGGTATTAATTATCAGCTCTGGTTTTGTTCAGTTGGTATTGGCCGACAACAACAAATTTTGTCCGTCATTGTGCGAGTGGTGAATTCTTCAATCTTGGCGTTTTTGGAGATCAAAAATGGTAAGAAAATTGTTATTTTTACACATTTCGAAATGAATAATAATTAATTCAATATTTTTTTATTATTTTCATCGTTGGAAAATCCTAATAAAGCTCCAAATTAGTGCTAAATCAAAACTTAAAATTTTATGCCGGCTTGCTTGGATTCACAAAGCGTTTCACATTTTACTGCATAAACCGTGTTATATTTTGCCATTCTGGAACTAAAATATTCAAATCAATTTTACAGTCAATTCTAAGCTACAACGGTGGAGCCATTGTGGCCATGAAGGGTGAAAACTGCGTCGCGATAGCTTCCGACCTTAGGTTCGGCATTCAAGCGCAAACTCTTGCTATGGACTTTGAGGTAAATTAATTAATTATTTTGATCCTTCCCCGAAATTAACATCATAAAATGATTGTTTACTGTAGAAAGTTTTTGAAATGGGACCTCACCTGTTTCTTGGCCTTCCTGGGCTGGCCACTGATACACTGACTGTCCGTGACAGGCTGAAATTCCGTCTCAATCTTTATGAACTTCGCGAAAGCAGGAAAATCCACCCCAAGACTTTTGCAGCTGTGGTCTCCAACATGTTGTATGAGAAGAGGTAGGTTTCTATTTCAAATAGAAATACTTTCGATGCTTAAATTTCCTGTAAAATTTTTCAAATTTAACAATATTTCTGGACTTTTCAAGATTTGGACCTTACTTTGTTGAGCCTGTAATTGCTGGTTTGGACCCCAAGACCTTTGAGCCCTATGTGTGCAACATGGACTTGATTGGTTGCATCAATGAGCCAGAAGACTTTGTCGTTGCTGGTTCCTGCACGGAACAGTTGTACGGCATGTGTGAAGCTCTGTGGGAACCAGGTCTGAAGCCAGATGACCTTTTTGAGACCTGTGCTCAAGCACTGGTCAATGCCTTTGACAGAGATGCTATGTCTGGTTGGGGAGCCATCGTACATGTCATGTAATTGATCTAACTTTGCCAGGTTGAAAATAATTAATTTGAATTTATTTTAGTGAAAAGGACAAGATCACATCTCGCAGGGTGAAGACCAGAATGGACTAAATTCTTGCACTTGCTGCTGCTTCATTGTATTTCTCTGATCATCAATAATATTACTTTGCATTAAAAGTTAAACTTGGTTTATCAATTTGTCAATATTCGGTCTTTAATTGACTAAACAAATTTAATTACGTTAATTCCCCAAAGGATTTTAGACTTGGGAGTTAATAGACTGCACCAGTCCACCCTCCATGATATCACCCTGTTTAAAAATGTCATAGTTTATGAATTAAGGAATTTATTATCATCCATTTTTACATCTTCAGACATTTTAGACCACTTAAAACATGCAAAGTAAAAATTTAATGTAAAATGCAGGAGTTTCCAAGTGTAGAGAATGATATTTCAAACCTTTTTGATTGAAACCAAATTAGGGATTACAATTCAAGCTTAAGAAATTTCCATCTTCTCTGGTAACATAATTAATCAGACCAAAAAGTGGTACACATCAAATAATGTTACACCAGTTAAATCCTATTTACATCATATTTTCAGGCAGGAAAATTAAAAAAAAAAAACGGTCTGTCACTGATAAAAAGAAAGAAAAAACACATTTGTAGAGATTTTTAGGCACGCATTGACTCGGTTGTTTGAACATAAGAATGAACGTCATAAATCTTTCACCGACGAGTCAAAAACGATTGCTTTAAGCAATGTAACTGTAGAAATCTGTTGTGTTTGCTGTCCTCTCTAAGTACTGCTTCTCAATCAGCGATTCGATGCTCTTTTTAATCATACTGATTGAAGGAGTGAAAGTTCCGTTGTTTTGAGCCAACACCTATGGAAGCCAGAGTAAGGAAAAAAGTCGATTTTTAAATTTTTTCATATACTTGAGTAATAAGATCGTTGTGACGAAGTGACTTCCGTGATTTCATGATGCGAACGATTGCTGCCTGCAAATACATTTTCCGATCATCATCAACGGCACTGATGGTTTGCTCAGACTCCTGGGGCAACTCTCGTTGAATTGCGCCTGAGATTTTGAATTTGGTTCTTTTGTTGCTATAGCTCATGTTCAGAGACAACTGGCTCTCTGAAGCAATAGCCTGTGAAAAATATTCCATAAATAGTCATTCATAATACAAATTCTTAAAAAGTACTTCTGTGTCTGAAGAGAGGAATTTGCACTCTACCAAGCTAGCAATGTGCTTGTTCAGAGCCTCCTCAGGTATTGAAAGGGTCTCCTTGATGTCCGAGTAGTTGAGTTTGTCTGTCTTTGCGAAGAGTAGCAGAATTGCCATTTGATAAGTGTTCATTGTGATGAAATAAGTTTTCTTGAGGTAGTTGAACCGCAACTCACCTAAGAAGAGATTACAAAGATAAAAATTAATTAATGGAATTGTGTTTCAATGAAGTTCTACTCACATTGGCATAAGTTATGAATCCAAGTCAATTTCCTGCCACTAAACCGCGTGTGGTAAAAGTTTTCGAACTTTTGTACAGCGTTTTCAAGCTCAGAGGGCAGGGTGATTGGAGTGGAGTTAATATTGCTGATGGGCCAAGCAGCCGTCTGTAATTTTTTTTTTTCTACAATTACGCGCACTTTTCATTGCAAAATTTTTTACCTGCAGCACATTTACAGAGAATCCTATTCCAAGCTCATAGCCATCCTTCTGCAGCGAATCATTGAACTGAGCGTTCAAATCACTAGATACATTGATATCAGTGAACATTCTGTGCAGCTTGCTGGTGAACTCGTAGCCACACGCTTGCTGTAATTTGTATTTAGGAAATTGTGCAATAGAGGCCAAGCAATAGAAAACCTTCAATCTATTGATCATTCCTTCCTCCAAGTCCATGGACTGACTCATCTGCTGGATTAGACGCTTTGCCAGCATGCGAGAGTAGAATTTTTGGAAGACGTCTTTGTCGTCAATGTACTTGAAAATAGTGATCGACTGGCCTAGTTTCTCTTCCACTTCCGACTCAGAAATCCCCTTGGCTGTTTTACGCAGCAGCGAGTCACAGTGCTTGGCCAACTATATTGCAATCACAGTTAATTAAAACTGAAAGTTGAATAAATAAAAAACAAACCATTTCAGGAGACTTGCATGCCGACCTCGGGTTACTTTTGTGATTTATGACAAGGGTGCAAGCTTTGTCGAGAGCACCAACATAGTTCTGGTCATCTTTGAAGACCTCCCTGATGAGGTCTCTGTACTTCTTATGAACTCCCAGCATGTTTTCCACAAACTGCGAGTGGATCTAATAATGTCTTGCTATTAGTTAAGCTATTAAACAATGTTTAAATTGGTACGTTTTCGCCTCCCAGATTTGAGATGCTCTCCAGGCCTTTCTTCTGGATGTGTTCTTGCAGAGCATTTATCAGGTGGTTCATGTGTTGAGGAAGCGGCTTCAGGAGGATATACAAATTCCCCAACTCCTTTTTCCTCTCTCCCTCAACCATTCCTGGGCACTCGCTGAGAAGCCTATCCTTGTGGTTTTCGACGAAGTGCTCCTCAAATTTGCTGCGGACCTTTTCAAAGGAGCTAAAAAAGAAAGAAGTTGTTTCCGTTAAATTTAAAATAACACTTAATTAAAAGGAATTAATCAAAGTAAATTTAAGGTTAAAAATAAAAGCATTTTACATAAAATTGAGCCTAGGCAAAAACGTCTATTAAAAAAAAAAATCTCTGCAGATTACAATTTGCCTATTGGGGTCAGTTTTCCTTTTATTTTTGCAACAAGGGATAAAGCCTTGCTCTATTTTTTTTTAAATATGCCTAAAGAGTTAAGTGTTAAGTTACGTCTTGTAAAGGTAGCGGTTGCTCCTCTTGATTTCTTCCTCCAGCTTTTGAATAACTCGTTCCATATATTCAGCAATGTCATACTCTTGCAGCATTCTGCTGGCCTCTTTTCTGTAGTAATCTCCACTAGCCTCAAGGAAAGGCTTCTCAAAGATTTCTTCATACAGCTATAGAAAAAAATTGATAATTTAAACATTTTCCCCCAAATATTTAAGGTTATAAAACTCACTTCTTGTTGCATTTTTTGCTTGTATTCTTCCACACAGACAAACGAGTTGATTACCCCTTGCATGATTGCTGTCATTTGATATGAAGCACTTCCATCGCGGTCCTGCTGGATTCCTTCGAGAAGCAAGCCAACTATTTCCTTCATCAAAGGCATGATCATTTCGTCTTTCCAGACCGAGAGACCTGAAGACAAAATGAAAATAAAAATATTTGATTTGATTAAAATGAAATAACCTAATTCTCCAATTTCCATTTGCTCAACCTGCTGCATGGCACTGTCAACGAACCGCAACTCGGCGTCACCCAACTTGGACTTCCGAATGTGCTGAGTGTTGAGATACCTAATTGGTTTGAAAATAAAAATTTGTATCGCCCATACAAGCTTTTGACTCACATGTACAAGAGGTGAAGGTACTGACAACCCTCCTTGTACGTGTTCCAGTATTCGTTGTACGCCTTCAAAAGGTCAACACCCTGGTACTGTTTCACGTTTTGAAGCAGCTCCCTGACGTGGTTCTCCAGGAACAGTTGAGTCTTATCATAAAGAGGATCTGCCAAAATATCTGGCTGGGCCACACAAAGGGCATAAACGTGTCTGAAATTGAAAAAGGAAATCAATTCTCTATCCAACATTTCTGAATTAAAAGTAAGTAATGAAAATTAGTTAATTAAACAAACCCAAATCCTTCATTCCAGTCAGATTTAGGAACGTTTCCCAATTTGATGACACCCTGCACGGTGGGCTCCAATTTGCCCCACATCTCGTCAAAATTGACTGGCCTTGGCTGCAGCGACATGGTGATGCTGAAATGAGACGCAAACTTTAGTAGGTCATTAAAATTTAGCCCTAAAGCTGAAAAATCAATCTCAAGTTAGCCACAAAAGCCTTGCTGAGCGGATATCTATGTAGTTTGTTTACAAAGAGTCGGGAAAAATGATCTTGTAACAGGTTTACTCGCGCTGCAGTTGCGACACTGAACCTTCTAAATTCATGGACATCACGCGTGTGAAGCAAGTGGAAAAAAAACAGACGCACATCTGTGCTGCTCCTCGGCTCACCTTGTCAGATTTGGCCAATTTGGGAGTAAAATTAACCACTCGGGTCAGGGATGAAACCCTTAGTCTCAAATTTTTCCCTGACGCGACTCTGCAGTGGCTCGAATGAAAGAATCGGATCAGGCAGAAGCGGAATTACTGACGGCTCAAGTTTGCTTTGGTTTCACTGGTTTTTTAGCTTTCGACTGATCTCCAATCGGTTTCGTTGGCTGCATTTGCTGCAGCAGCTGCTTTGTTTTGGTGCAGCTGCTTTACGATGGGAATGAGAAACGGAGTTTGTTAAATTATACACAAACTTAAATATTGGCCTCTAAATTGCAGATTTTTTATAATTAATCCATTAAACATACTTTTTAACGTTTTAGTTTGATAGTTTCGTTAATAAAATTTACATCTAAGACATGAAAAAGCCCTGGTACCTTCATATACAAAAACTCCGTTCTAAAACTCCCTTAAAAAATCTCTCCCACTCCCCCTGCTTCCATTCGATTCAGGCAACAACAAGACGAACTTTGAGGAGTACTTTTTGATAAACTTTTATGATTTTTTTTATATTTAGAGGTTAAATGGTAAAATTAAAAGAACCACATCGCTGGAGTTAAATTGATGGAGGAAATAGCCGAGACCTCGATTTTACTTAATGCGGGGAAAATAGGTTTGAAGAATAATAATAAATTATTTAAAAAAAAATAATTTCTTAAATTTTACATTTTATTTTAATCAATTTTAATATGACTATGAATTTCAATTGAAGCTTCGTATTTGTTTAAACGTTTACTAGTAATTTCATTAAAATTTAGCTCCAGCTCACGGAATTGATGGGAGAATCCTAGAGTTTTTTGAAATTTGCATCCACCAGCTTGTTTTTTTGCACCGATTGTATCCCATTGGGATATTCTCAAAGAAACAAAAATATGGGATAGCAATTCATGTATGTTAACGCTGCTTTTGAAAAGCTTTTATTTGCATCTTATAATAATATTTTTGCAGACCTCTGAGCATCCCGAGTTAAATTCGTACATCAAGAAATGCCTTAGCACTGCTCAAGACTTAATCAGAACGGGAGACTTTGAACAACTGATAATTGTGTTCAACAAACCTGACGAGACACCTTTTCGAAAATTCACTTTTGCCTTAGAGGGTCTGTCAAAAGACACAACGGAATCAGTGAATAGGCAAAAATAATTTTATATAAATTTAAAGTTTAAATGAAAAATAAAAACATTTTCTTCTCCACAGGAACGATTTTACGAGTCTAGAGCTGAGCTTTCGAGATGCCGTTTTAAGACTGGTCGGTTGTGACCGAAAAATGGAAACATTCCATAAAATCCCTGAGGGCAGTTCTTTTAAAATTCTAATTGAAACGTCAGAAGACAGCTTTATCAATATGTGCAATGCACCTTCTTCCAAAGATGAATATGTAAGTTCCGTAAATTGGAGTATATTAAACAAGAACAGTTAAGTAAATAACAATGTAATATTTAAAACAGGAATTCCCGTGGGTCCAAAGTGAGGGGAAAGTAGCCAGCGCGACGTACGATCAGCTCATTCCCATTTCATCAGTTGAGACTCGAAATTTGTCTTTACAAATTATTGCTCACGAATCACTCATGGTTTCTGCTGAAGAAAACAATCATAAATCACAAAATAGTAGTGTGATAACGGATGAGGAAAATAACACTGCAATGTCCGAAGAATATTAAAAATAAAATTTTGTAAATTTTACCAAGGTAATTTGTGCGCTTATACAAATGATACTTAATAAATTTAATCGAATAAATTATTCTTGAAACAACTTTTTCAAAATTTTTAAAGACTAAATTTTCTGTTTTTATTTACAGTTAATTTAAAATTTTAATTTTTGGTTGGAACAATTTGTATATTAAAAACATTAATAATATTAAATCCCCAGAGCGAAAGGAAATTTTCGCGCTAAAAATCAAAATTACTCATTTGTGATTGGCTGGAATCTGCAGGCCGCCATCGTGTTTGTTTATAAACATATCTTGCCGCATGAAAAGTTCCAAAAGTTCAGTCTCTGTCCGGTTTAGCTTATCTAAGTTCAATTAAATCGAAAATTCCTCCAGCTCTTGGCAATAAAATTCCACTGCCTTTAAATTAATTGCTGGTAAGCTTCTCTGGATTGAAATTTACTCAGAAGATGATGACAGAAGGTAAAAAAATCTGAATACATAACATGTTTGTGTCAACTTTTTAACTTGCGTTGGTTTAAATGGAACAAAACTCTTTTTCTTTGATTTATGAGCTCAATTAAAAAGATATTACTATTTTTACAGAGGAAGTTATTAAGCGTCGGCTGTTAATTGACGGTGATGGAACTGGAGATGACCGACGAATAAATCTTATGCTGCGTTCGTTCATCAAGTACTGCAACAATCCCGCAAGTCCCGAGGAAGACAACTCGTAATAATTAAAGATTATTTTTGGTATTACAAATAATACTTTTTTTTAATTTAGGGCAATGAATAGAATGCTCCTTCAGTTGAGCCAGAGTGAGTTGGCTTCGGAAAAGTTTCTCCTCGGCTCGCACACGAGCAACGCCGAACTCAAGAGTTACGAAGAGCTGAAGGAATCGATTAAAAATAGACTAGAGACTGCCAAGACGGAGATTGAGGAAGCCAAAGAGTCCTTCAAAGCTGCCAAAGAAGTGCGCAAAAACAGGGTCCAGTACAATGTACTCGCCAAAGTCATCAAAGAGCAGCCGGACAGAAAGGGAACCCTCAAGAAATTGGAGGAAAGTAAAGCAGAACTTGCTGAGTTGGAAGTAAGTTACTAAAATTATATAGAAATTTCAAATTAATTACAACCTTTTGAAATCAGAGCAAGCGAAAACAGATTGACGACAAATTGGAGATGAGAAGGAAACGTTTGCACCTGCTCAACGTTGCCATCCACGACTTTATCGAGGATGCCAACGAAATCAAACTGCAATTGGATTCGGGCGAGGCGTCGTCTTCTGCAGATAATGCAGCTGACAGCATTGACCTGCTGATTGAGCCCTTTGACCTGGAGGACGTTGAGGACCAGGCGATGAGCATCGATCCGTGAGTGAGAAATTCAGTGATGTGCTCGAAGGACAGTTCCGCATTCCGCAACATTTAAATTTGAGCCACGTGTCACATTCTAAATGAATAGTGAATAAATAACATTCTAAGGCACTAAAATTTATAATTAATTTTTAATGAAACTGATTTACACTTAATTAAATAGAAGACAAATAAGTACAGCGGACATTGTCACTAGTTCCATAGTTGCAGCGCCATTAGTAGCTACTTCATAATTTCCAATTTTTGATGCGAAACCAACGACGTGGGCTACATAATTTTGCTCGTGTACCGATTGAAATAGATGAGACCAGGGGCCTATCAAAAATTAATATTATTTTGATTTAAAATTAGGAAAATATCTTGCCTATGGCGTAGGCCGTCACTTCTCCACCTCCATGAACACCTTCGTCAGTGGAAATGGCAGAATGTTGTTTATATTCAAAACTTTCCACATCTTCTGTTGAAGGATCCGGTCTTGTTACATGAGTAGCATTAAACGGGTAAAACTTTATTTCCGTTCCAGTTGCGTACGACAAAGTTGTGTAATTTAAAGCGTCTGATTTAGATTTATAAGCAATTCCTGCCAAAATATAACCTTATTTGATATATTTTTTCCCATTTTTTTTTTAATTACCCATTATGCTTGTGCCTCTTACTGGGTATCCTGCAATAGATAATGTGTGCGTGTGATCAGCAGTGACGATGACCAGAGTTTCGTTCAAGTCGACCAATTTCAATGCCTCTTCTACGGCCTTCTCTAAAGCTACAGTTTCGTCCAAAGCTTTCCGCGCCGTTCCTCTGTGGTGGGCTTGATCGATCATTCCACTTTCAACCTAGACAATTATTCAAATTCATTTTTTAATTTCAAAAAAAGAAATGTAAAATTTTTTCTTAGTAAATAATTTTCTCACCCTTGAAACTTGATTTTAATAATTTATAAATTAATTTAATAATCAATAATCCAATTGAATAGAATAAAAAAATTTAATAATAATAATTTCTTTACCACCAATATGAATCCATTTGGTCCCTTATTGAGTGTCTTAATCGCAGCCACGGTCATCTCGGCCAAAGACGGACTTATCTCAGCGTCCCTCTCATGCTCGTATTGTAAAAACCCATTTGTAAAAACTCCCAACAGAAAATCCGTCTTTTCAAAATCGACTTCAGTCAACTCTTTATTTTTAGAAACCACTGAATGTGAGACTCCCTTGGCCCTTTTCTCCTCCTCCCACATCCTGATCAGGTCCAGTCGGTCCCCTCTGCGACAAGCCCAGGTGTCAATCGGGTCTTTGGCGGTGATTGTCACATTACTGACCAAACACTGGCGACCGCCACCCAAAATCACCTTAAAAAATTAAAAATTGTCAAAAAAAAAGGTAAATTTAAATTTTTTATAACATTAATTGATTTTCCCGGCTCATCCTCCACCATTTGTCGAGCAATATCTTTGCATTTCGCGGCCGATCGCGGCATTTTTGCCTCGCACTCCCAGCTTCGGTGTGCACTGTGCGCGTAAAGGGCCGCGGGGGTGGCGTGGGTTAATCTTGTATTGGTCACAAAACCTTAAAAATCAAATTACAAATTGACCCAATTCATATAATTTTTTACTTTTACCGGTCAATTTTCCGGCATCCTGGGCCCATTTTAAGATGGAATCTGCGCGGTAAGATTTGTTGAGGGAGCTTTCGCAGTCGCCGAGTTTGACGTTCGCGTCCAAGCCGACCGTTTTGTAATTTGATTTTACGCCTGAAAATAAAGCCGTGGCTGTGCTGGCCGAGTCGGACACTTGCTTGTCTGTGTTATATGTCTGCATAAAAGAAGATGATTTAAAAATTTAAGAGAAAAACAAAATATTTGAACGGGTCCAGGGTTATTTTTTTATTTTTTACAGAGCTATGAATATTATGTTCAGTTAAATTAATTTAATGTTTTTTATTTTCAACTAGTTTTTAAATAAATTCAATGAACGTACCATCAGAAAGCCTGTGACAATTTTGAGAAAGAATTAAAAAAGAAATAGAAAAAAATAATAAATTTGTTAGCAAAACCAGAGAAACGTGAAATGGAAAACATTAATTTTACTGAAAACTTTTCGGGGGGGGGGGGGGGGGAAGAAATGTGCATGTATACGGTCTTCATTTAAATCACTGAAATTTAAATTTAAATATTTTTTAATTTTGTTTAAACTGAATAGAATTAAATTTCAAACAAAAATAATGTAGACTGTAGAGGGTTATTATTATATCTTTTATGTTTGATTAATTTAAAAGAGATTTTCTTCTTCTTCATAAAATACATAGTACATGTGTTAAAATTCTCAAAGGTGGCATGAAAAGGTCGCGATAGAGAAACTAATTTTTTTTTTATTTAACTGCGCGCACAGTCGCTAATCGCATCAACCGCAGTAGGTCTTTTGTCCGCGTTGGGGCGAAAAATTGAGGCTGGCCATAATCCCTTGAGAAAATAAGGGGCACCTTGAGGAGCGCGACGTGTGGGAACCTCTCGAAGGCGAGCAGACCTCTTTCTGCGTCGCGACCCTCCCCGGCGAGCTGCCCTTTGTAGATGCGCGCCGCCGTGATGGTGTTGGGGCCCATTCCGTCGCCGACAAACAACACCACATTTCGCGCCCGCCGCTCGTTGACACTCACCCTGAGCGCCGAGTGCAGCTCCTGGGTGGCGACGCGATCCCAAAAGGCCGCATCTGCATCACAAACAAATTATATACATTATTCCTGGAAAAAGCTAGGGAGGAAAATCCGTGAGAAAGGGGGCGAATGAAAAGAAAAAAAGGAAATGGCCAGACTGCGGCGGCACCTTTTGCACCTTTTAGGGCCGCAGACTGGAAATTGAGGAGTGACGCCTGACTGGACTGCGCGTCCATTGTCGTCTTGCTCTGGCATTTGCGTTTTGTGAGAAAATTGTTGTGTAAATATTGACCCCAACACGAATTTATTTATTTGTGCCGCGGCTTTTCTGAAAGCGCGCTGCGTGAATTCTTTTCTTTTCTCAAACCTTTTCCTTTCCAATGAGCATGATTGAATTTCCTCTGCGGTCGCCACAGTGAGAAAATGTGCAGGGTAGAAAATACAACTTCTGCTGAGCATTCAAAAAATGGAATCAAGTAAAGGGCCATAATTTTAAGTTCAGTCTAACTAATAAGCAACCATGCAGTGACTTTGAAATTATTAATGGAATAATTGCATCAAAAAAGTAACGCCATTGGAAGGACTTTTAATTCCTGTGGTCCACTTTTAGTTATTTTTTTATGGTTTGAATCTTAAAAGAAAAAAAACATTATGTGATTTTGAGTTGTTTATTGTTTTGTATTAAAACCACACTATGATTAAGCTGTGGGCTGCAGCCCTATAATTCATGCTGGGCTGTGAATTACTTTGACAAAAATTAATTAAATCAAAATTTTGATGACATCAACAAAAATATTTATAAATTAAAAGATTAATTAGAAGTTCCGAGTTTACCCCGACAATAATTTTTAAGATACTTTTTCCAATTCTACAATTTTTTTAAAATAAAAATTAAACTTTTTCTTATTAATTTTCTACAAAATCAAAATGGATATAATAAGCGTAATTTTTTTTCCATATTTGATTTTCCAAGCTTGAAGATTTCCTTGCTTAATTTGTTAATGATAACTATGCTATTATAATTGAAGTTAGTTATGTAAATTATTGAAAAGAAAAATTTGCAATTCAATCTTGAAAAATGTGATGAAATTATTGAAAATTGAAATACCTTCCAGTCCAGTAGATCCACTTGTTGCCAGGAACAAAGCAAACACGGCTAACTTCAAGCTCCTCATTTTTTTTTTATAACGTGCCAGAGAGGAATTCACGAATTAGAAAAACAACATTGATTCCATTTGCAGGTCACAATCGGCAACGCGGAAGTGCGCGGACGAATATCACGCTCTCCCCACGCAACAGCACAAAGCCCCTATTATGTTAATGATAAAATTCTCTGACAATTGAACAACGCAGCACTTTTATTAACACGCTCCTCCTGATATACATTTATATTTATGCTATAGGACTACATAAAGTCATTGCAGGGTGCAAAGTTTATATAGTAGCCGCGTCATATGAACCGTCTTGCCGGTGCTATTTGCGGTTCTTTCGGTAGCTCTCTTATCTGTCTCTTTACTAACAAAAACAACCAGAAATATAAAAAAACAATGGTCATAATTCTTAAAGTTTTATTTTTCTTCCGCTGCTATTGCAATTATAAATATTGACCAAAATATAAAATAAAAAATAATAATAGAATTTTGTAGTAGATTTTCAAAATCGAGGTTTGATTCATGGTGAATTTTAATTCAAATCACCATGTAATAATATTATAATGTAGCTGGCCTAAAACTGTAATTGGGCAGTTCTGATTTTTTAATTAATTTAAAACAAAAGCAGAGATCTTAATCATGTGTGTAGGAAATATTAAAAATGGTGGAGACTCTATTTTGATTTCTTCAAAACGTTTTTTGTTAAGTTTTTAACGTCATGACTGAAAATTTTTTGTTTTTTAGTTTTAAGGGAATCATTTCGTGGCGGCATCGCCTTTGAAAAAGAAAATCGCAACATCTAAATTCTTTTCACATTTAATAACGCGTGCGGTTGGGATTCAATTTACGCAATGATGATAAGGGAAAAGAAATAATTCCGAGAAAATTAGAAAATTGGACCGTCCAGTTTTGGTGCTAGTCGCACAAATTTTTTCAAATCATCGTTTCAGCGGCTATAAAAAAAGTAGGGACAATAAGTAGTACTGTACTAGTATTGAACTAGTACGTTACTAGTCACGCCTCCTAGAGAGGTTTCCGCAATAATTTGGAAATATCGGTTTCCTCAAAAATTACACCGCCACCAGTAATGAAAGCGCGACGTAAAACTACTATTGTACGTGCGACATAAAACCATTATTTTATTCGCGACGTAATGCAAGTGATGCCAACTCAAATAGGGGATTTTGGGAACCACGCCGCGCTTACTGTAACGTTACCAAATAATCCATGAAATTAAATTATTTAAACATTTCATATTATGCGAACTTCTTACGGAAAAAATTTTATTGTTAAAAAAAAATGCGAAAATTCAATCATATTCCTGCTGTGAATGAAATTTTACTTTTTAAACTGTTTTTCAATAATTCAATTTTTTCCTTTTTCTTTTCTCAGCGAAAAAAGCGTGGTCGCATTGAGGTTCCGCGCGCGTGAGAATGATTGTGTGATTCAATTCACCAGCGGTCCTGGGTCATAAATCAAAAAGCTGCGGTCAGATTATTTCACCATACACATTATTTATTGCGCCACGCACTCATTAAAGTCTCATTAAAAGTGGTTTGCCACCATTTAGGCCCATAATCGTTCTTTTTTATTCCAAATACGAAAAAAAAGCCGCGGCTTCTTTGAAAGAAAGCTTTTGTGCGCGACGAAAATGAGAGAATTTCGTGGTTGTTTTAATTAACATAAAGCACGAGATCGACGCGGCCAAGGAATATAATGAAAAAAGTCTGCGTGGCGTGGACATGAAAGCGCATTAGCCACGCAAGATTAGTAATTATCATTCAATTCCTTTGATCAATGCCACCGCGACAAATTAATTTTTTTCTCCTGGCTGGTGCTCTTTGTGCGTGTTGTGCGTCTCATATGCGTGTGTGTATGATATTGTCCCATTAAAAGATGTGAGGATGCCGCTTTTCGCTGGTGCACCCAAAGTACTACTACCCCCTTAAAACCAAAAGGGCCAAAAAACGCAGCGCCTGTTCCTTCTGCGCTCGCTTTTCTCCCAGAAAAAAAGGAACCCCCTCTACTCGCGACGCGCTCACCGCTTTTATAGTGGTGGCGGCGCCTTTGATCTTTTTCACTCTCTCAGGTGCTGCTTATTCGTAATAGCCTTGCCTGCATGCACACGGATCATCTCGCCGACCACGCCTCTGATAATCACGAGCCATGCAACCAGATACACTAATAGAATTTTTATTTTTATGTACTCAATCTCGACCCCTATTGTTTTATTTCACCGCTCTCTGCTTCCCTGTGTGGATCCGATGCCGAAGAACGTCTCATTTTTTTTTGGTCCTTTTCTTTGCAGAAATTTTTCAAATTGGATAGAGTTTTTCAAACAAGTTTCATCACGATTATGTCAAAGAGTTTATTTAAATTTAGACAAAATAATTAAATTACAATAATGATGAGTATGTACAAGAACGTAATTTTAAAATTATAAGTTATGACTTTTCATTTAGTACACTAGAGCTTAATGTTAGCTGAATATTGATTTACAAATAAACAATTAAAATCTTTAAAATCTGTACAAAATAACCACTACGCAACCTTTCTTGAGAATTCGGCTGAAAAAATTGGTTGTCTCTGGAATGCTCGTTTATTATTCTAAGTGCTGCTTAAATTTATTTGTGTAGATTTGTGATTCTGATGTAGGAGTAATTACATAATTTGATTAAGTAGCTACAAAATACTTTTCATATCACTTAGCAGCTGACCGTAGCTGCGCACATTTGTGTGTTATTATTATTGTGAAAGCCCAATTTGTACTTAGCAGGTTTGATTTCAACCTTCTGTGGAATTTCCAAAGCTAACCTGACAAATTAATTACGTGTAATTTCTCAAAACATTATTGCTTGATGTGAGGGGCTTTTCTGGATTGAACGGAGACGTAAAATTAAATAATAATATATTAGCATAATAAGTTATTTACAAAAACAAAAAGGGAGAAGAGGCGAGATCAGCAAATGAGTTCACATGGAAGCACGTCAGCCGTACACGGATGACAAGTATATACTCGACGGAAGGTTTTGGCAGCCTTCGTACTGCTGACGCGCTTCTTCGTCGCTTGATGGTCGACCGTACGCTCCGCATGGTGCCCCTGTCAGGGTTGTTCTCGTCGCTTCACCCGAGGTGGTGTCTCGCAGTGATGGACTTGACCTTGTCACCTCCTTCAACGAATCCTGGAATCAAATTAAAAAGATCTTTTAATATTATAACACAGATTTGCAGGTGATGTTTTTTTATTATAATCCGATTTAAAAATTTGTAATTACAATTTTTTTTAAAGAATTTTTAGGAAAAGATTAATATTATATTAATTTTTAGGGTGTAATTTACTTATTTTAATTGGCTATTTTAAATTAATTTTGATTACTCACTTCATAAATTTGGTGGAGACACGTGTTTCTGTGCATGGCCCTGCTCCAATGGGCAGTGAAATCTCCCTGCCAGGCAGGCTGGTGGCCTGTACCACTGGTGAAGACGATCACATTGGACAAGTTGTTGGCGTTGTGAATCGCCTTGAGGATCTCGCCCGAGTAACTTTGGTCGATGACCATGATCACTCGGCGTGAGAGGCAGCCCTGAATATCACGCAGCATCTCTCGCACCGTGTACACTTCATTCGTGTCCGCCTGCACAACAGATGATTACAAAAAATTATAAAATTTGCTTGAAATTTATCAATAAAAAAAGTTTATAATTGGGAAATTATTCAGTAACTCACCTCGCCATTATTGTCCAAGTCCCACAACAGTGGAGAACCGTCCGACCTTGTTGGGCTGTTGAGATAAATGACCAACGAGTCGGCGCAATACTTGGTCTCACACAGTGTCCGCAGATGGTGTCTGAGGCTGAACTTCATCACTGCCGAGTACATGTGAGGTCTGCTCTGGTCAGCAGGCAGACCGTTGGCAAAGAACACCTTGATGTTCTCCTCGCTGAAGCCGTTTCTCTTGAGCATTTCGTAAAAGGCCAGGGTGTTGATCAAACTCTGCGAGTCACTCATCTGACGGTTCCACCCACCGGACAAAAGCACAGCCTATAAAATTTAAATAAAAAATTAATATATTAATAAATTAAAATAAAAACTATCTTAAAATTAAATTAATTAAAAACTTACGTGATCGCAAGTCTGGAAAATGTTGCACTTGGTTTTGGCGGCTTCGTGCGTGAAATCGCAGCGCTGCGAGTTGAGGCGCAGAGGGTCGCACTCGACCAGGCGCGTCGATTCGGCGTCCCGGAGCGCCGGACAGGCGTTGTTGAAGCCGGGGATGTCGTCCCTGCAGGTGAGGCGTTGCTCCCACTCGGGCGTTCCGACGCTGCCACCGCGCTGGTTGGTGCGGACGGGGGCTTCCTTGGCACTTCGCACCAGAGGGATGAAGTTGATGGCGCAACGAACGTGCATGTGGACGCGGTGCCTCGGCATGCGGTTGTTCTGTCCGCCCATCCGCTCGGCGGCCATCAGGTTCGGACACCGGTTCTTCCTCGCTACTTGCAGACACTCGCCACTTTCTAAAAACATAATTGAAACAAAATTTTAATTTAAAGCACAATATAAAAAAGAGTAAAAAAGAAATTTAAAAGTGTGTTTTTTAAGGAATTTTTTTTATTTTGCAATTTAGTTTGGAACCATTTCTTATTTTACAAAAATATTTAATCAAATAATCTCTTTAAAGCTTTGATATGCATATAAAGACGGAAGGATCGCGAAGAAATTTAAGTGTGACATCAGAAAAATTAGAACGCATAATTTGCATATTAAAATGAGTCATCTGAGGAGCCGCGAGAAAAACAATCTCATGCATGGAAGCCGCGGCACGCCGGCCGGCATAGCAGTCAAATGAGCCAATTTACCGCGGTCATAAAGAGAGGCCATTACGGCGTAATCTGGTGGCTGCTGGATTATAAAAATATATAAAACAAGCAAGCCGATGTACTCGGCGCACAGGAATCGAGCGAGAGAGCGCGGCATCTGAAGGGCAGCAGAAAAAGAGAGCTGCAGGTATGGCAGGTTCGTCAGTCAGTAAGATGTCACCTCTGCCTAATGAGCGGAACCTCTTAAATCGGCGCGCTTGGCGTGAGGTTTCCTTTGATGTTCGCCGCCACAGAGGAGCCGCCTGGCCTGCCTGCCGCGCTGCTCTCGCGGCAGCAGATGTGCTCGAGGAGCGTGCATGTCCGTCCGTCGCTTCTTCTGCCCCACAGCACCTCAATTTATATTGCATTAATACACTTAAATGTTGCTCCACAATAATCCCTGTGCGCGCTGCGCGAGACTATTTTCAGGGCAATTTATCAAAAAAGCTTCCCAACGGTTCGCTCTGCAGGCCAATTTTCAACTCTGTTGTTCTTGACATTTGAGCACCAAAAGTTTTGAGGATGGAAATTATATAAAATAGAACAGCCAAAAAGCTTCACGTTTTCTTTTTCTTATAAAATGCTCCACTATAGCTGCTGTATTAATTTATAATTTTTCAAAATCTTGCAATTTTTTTAATTAATTCATTAGGAAATCAATCAAACTACTCTTTGCATTATGCTGACAGCGAGTTTTGATAGTTGAAAAGAATTTCCAACGTTCATTTTTTGAAAGCTTTAGATAGACTATTTCGCTGCCAATGTTTTCCTTTGATGCCGCGCAAACGTTTTTCATATAATGTTTTATTATGGAAATGCTTTTAATATGAAAGGAAAAAAGCAACGGAGATCAATCAGCGGCTCTGCGATGCGATATATTTTTATCAAAGGAGCCGCCGCGCCGCAAAGGAAGTGAATGGCTGGCAATTTAGTACGCGTGAATGCGATCTGTAATGTCTTTATAAGAGAGTAAAGCGCCCGGCCGCGGCGCGCAGCTGATACATACGACGAGGACATAATTTTTAGCCCAAGTGATGGAAGTTATGCTTGTGAGAGAGGTGCCGCCCAGGCGAGTGCGTCTTTCCATTTTCTTTAAGTGTTTTGTGATAGAAAAAAAGGAAAAAGGTTTATCAAATTGTTTTATTTTAATCAAGCCATAAAAAAAGCGATGTCCGCAACCCACCCAACAAAGAAACATGATTAATATGCACAAATCTTCAAAATTCGAATTGTTAGTTGCAAATTTAGTTTTCATAAAACCTAATCAGCTCGTAGAATACACAAAAAATTGAATAAAATTATTAATGAGCAAATTAAGCAAAAGGATTTTGTATCATTTTTCCAAATAATATAAAAGTTGGAATAAAAAATATTTAAAATAATTTTTAAATTCTATAATGTCTTGATTCATTATGCGGTAAAAGCTTATATGAATTTTCATTAAATCAAAAGTGCTTTTTTGACGAAAGGTTGCAAACAAAGAATTAATTTGTTTTAAATTTTATTTTGTATTTTAAGTATTTTTAATTTGGTTATAAAAGATCAAGATTATCCACAAATTGGGCTCTCCTCTCCCTTAGACAGAAGTGCCTCCGTGTGTATTTATAATGACAACACATACGTGAAGAGGACGCGATTTTTTTTTCTGAATTGCAGCCAGGGTGTCATAATTGGGCGGCGCGCGTGTTGAAATAAAGCGACTTTTTCACTTTTAGCCGAGCGCTCCTTTCGAGGTGTGAATCGCAAGTACATCTCTCGTCGCACCAAAGAGAGTGGTGTCGCGCGCAATAAAAAGCAACCCTTTGAAACGTCCTTTGATCTCTGGCGCGCGCCCGCGCGCGCAAAATGTGCGTACTTGATATTGTGTGTGTGTGCGCGCGGCTCTTTGAAGAAATTATGCTGAGCCGACGTACTTGCGTGCCTTGCTTGTTGCCTACACATGCACAAAAAGGAGGCGGAGAGAGAGAGAGAGAAAAAAAAGAGGCGGCGAGATCAAAGCGTTTGGTGGCTCGTGGCACCTGAAGCATCCTTCCCAGAAAAACGTACGCGCCGCTGCTGCTAAGATGCGATTCTGTGAGAGAGTCTCTCGAAATTCTCTCGCGGTCCGGCTTTTTGCCAATTTTTTTCTTCGTCAAAAAAGGCCAAATTTTAATTGGCCTCGCTATAAAGATTTAATTTCGCTTTGGCGCCTGCAGAGATAACAAATGGAAAACGTCATCTGGACCGAATTGCAGCCACTTGGATTTTGTTCTGATTTCGGAGATGAGATAAGACGCGCTGCATGCAGCAGTTGTAAAAATTGCCATGGGAAAATTGAGATTCGTATCTGCAATATGCTGCGGAATTTTTCTGCTAAGTTTCTTTTTCAAAAACAATGTAAAATTGCGTGAAAAATTAAAAAATTAAAATACACAACCAGAAAACTCTGGTATTATTATTTTTTTAAGGAACTTTTTTCAATATCAAAAGAAACTTGAAGTAAAAAATTAAGCATTTTTTCCTATTTGAAAGAAAAAAACAATAAAAAAATTGCTCTCTCCTTTCGAATATCAAGAGAAAAAAATGGTGATTAGAAATTTGAGTTCAATTTTTTTTGCTCTATGAAAAAGTTTAAAAAAAATATCTCCTCCTCCTTCAAACTAATTGTGTTTTGTGAAATTCCTCACCCTTTATTTAAAAGTAAATCACTAAATTTACTATATTGGGTGTAAATCTTTTCAGCGAGCTTTTTTCCCAAGCCGTTTTGCATAAGTAAAAAAATGCACTCTTGGGATTTCTTTTTTTGTTCAGGCGAAACGTGTTCCATTTTTATCTGGGTTTGGTGCATCACAATAAAAATTTAAAATATAATTCCGAACGTGATTTTGCAGCCAAAAAGTGGATTTCGCCTGACAATTAACAAGCCCCGGCGGCCTTGTTCAAACGACGGAGAAACGCTCCCTCGGGAACATTTTTACAGCCCGCAGTACCCTTCTCAGCAACAAGTGCTGCGATTTTGCGACTAACCAATGTTTTGATTTACAAGCGCAATAAAAACACGACCTTTCCCAAAAAGAAGTTCTCGCGCGGCGGCACCTGCGACACACGGAGAGATGTGCGTTTGCATCGCGGCCGGGGATAAAAAAAGCAGACTGGCGCCTTACTTAGTTGGCTTGGGAAAGTACGATTTCTTGTTTCTCCATACCTGGGGCCCGAATTTCGGTTTTGTCCCCCGCGTGGAGAATCAAGAGAGAAAAGCACAGGGGCTTGTTCCGCGCACAGATGAGATTATTTCGCCGACACAGAGAGAGACAGAAAAAGGCAGAGAGCGCGGCGGCGGCGGCGGTTTCGATTGAAACGCGAGAATACCACAGCTCTTTTCTAGCTGGACACATACATACTTGTGGCCACATTTTTCTCACACCGCGCGAGGAAAAGAATCGAAAATTGTTTTGTTGCAGCTTGGGTTTCAGCTTGTGGTGAAAAAAATTTGTGCGTGAAAATGATGAAATTCAGGCAGCAGCCTTTTCTCTAGAAAAACAGCAGGAAGCCTCCTTTTCGTGCGCGGGGGGAAATTGAGATATGCAGTGCAGGGTTTTCTTTCCTGCTGCTCTTGGCAGTATTTATAAATATTTTGTCACTTGCAACCACCTCCAGCGGCGATGCTCCTTTTAATTGTTTCCTCATATATTGGATGCGCGCAGAACTTCCTTTTGAAATGAGGAATAAAAGAGAACAAGAATAACAAAAAGGAGAAAGAGAAAAAGCAATAAGGAAAATTTTATTAAATGCTGAATAGAAATTCGTAAAAATAGAGCTGGTTGAAAAACTATTCCGCTTTTTCTCTTTCTTCTTTGATATAGGTTTTTCAAAAGAGATCCTCAATATCCAAAAGCTTCAAAACAATTAAATTGGAACCAAATTTGATTGCTATGTGGGCATTGTTGACGCTACTTAGTTTAAATCAGAATTTAATCTCAGCAATAATCATATTTTTTAATGATTGTTGTAGGCGAGGCTAAATAAATTAAAAAAACGTGAGAAAATCTGTGTCCCGGTGTCTCACTTATCCATAATTTTAATAAAAAGAAAATTTGAAAAAATTTAAAAATTTAGAAGACTCCATATTTCTATTCTGGCAAAATTGAAGGTTATAATCATTATGAGTAATTTTTCGCGTTTATGAATCCGTGACTACTGTGCAGTTGTTTCAAAACATTGATATTATATCACAAATCATGATAATTGCAAACAAATTTATTTTTAACATGTAAAAAAAATTATTTTCCTTAAAACATTATAATGAATGAAAAAAACAACACAGTTATAAATGGAAACAATCAGGGATTAAATGAAATATATAGTTATTTTAATTAATATTACAAAAAATAAGTAAATTATTTGCAGCAAACACAAACTGGTAAATAGCAATTTTTTTTTTAAATTGATTTAAATTGTTGAAAAATAAAATTTCTTCTTACCAAGTCTCTTTCCTCCGATGGTGTTGCACCTCTTCTCGCTGATGCCGCGGTCGATGAAGAACATGAGCACCGGGTGTCCGAAGCGGGCGGCCGGGAACGGGTCGAGCAAGAGCACTCCGTGGTGCGACCCCGAGCGGGACATGCGCCCGTCCGGAAGGGTTGCGTTGAGCGCGTCGCCGTCATCAGCGACGGCTGCGTAAACGCGCATCTCGGCGCGCGGCATCCGCGACACCCGCCGGGCCATCTCGAGGTTGAAGAGGCCAAAGGCGGCCGAAATGTCCTCGGCCGCCTTGCCCTCGGCGGCCGAAAAGGAGGCGAAGAACCACTTGCGGGCCGCCTCGGCCCACGACTGCACGAGCGGCGCCTCTCGGCCGCCGAGCGAGTGGCGGCCGGCGGCCGCGACGGCCACCAAGGCGGCCAGTATGACGGAAAAGTCCAGCACGCGGCGCCCAAACATTGTGACACAGATTTCGAGCAGCGACTAAGACCGACTGACAGCTCGCGAGGGATGCTGGGCCGGTTCTGCAGAGAGCGCGACAACGAAACGTGCACCCCCCTCTCGCCGCGGCTCCCCTTCCAGGTCGCCGGTCTCTCCTTCTGCTACACTTCTTCTTCGTCTTGGACGCCTGCAGCCACCGTACCTGTGATACTGCACTTTTCGCGACACGATCGACTTTCAATTTTTTTTTCAATTTACATCTAAAAAAATTCAAACAATTTTTTTTAGTTTCTTTAAATAAAAATGGAATAATAATGTCGAAGATCAAAGATGATTCTGTTATAAAAGCGAATGTGGGTGTAAAAGTTATAGGAAAAAATTAGAAAAGATGAAAAAAGGTGATTTTTGTGAATAATTAAAGCATAAAATGTGTTACAAAAGTGATAGGAAAAGAAAATGTAAGTCAGAATGAAGGACAATTTTATTATTATTAAAATCACAATAATTTTCCGTTCTACAGCTCCTGTTTTTTGGTATATTCTTTTATTATTCTTCTAGGCAAATTGACTCAGTTGAAAACAAATTATACAAAGTTTTAAACAATATCTGTTTTTCAATATTTACTTTTTAATATTTATCTCAAAATTTATATAGCTCTCTCTTCTCTTAAGTAAATTATAACTCATCGCATGGTTTGAAACATTGATCCGTTTTCTTCTTCTCAATTTATAAAAAAAAATCAATTTGAATGTTCAGGTCGACGTGATCACGCTGACCTGGAAAACATGAGATTTTCTAAATTTACAAAAGTTTTAATCAAAATAGTTTGCATCCTCGCCCATACCCTTTTTCTCAAACAAAAAAAGTGGAGAAAACTTGTCACTGAATTTCTAAGCCGCTGGAATCAAAATTAAATACGCAGAATTAAATTTAATATTTGGAGCACAATTATTTACAAAGCCAACTTTTTGAATTCTTTATTTTCATAATCAGACAGTTTTAATTATTTTAATCACAAAAGGCTCTTTCAATATATCAATATCAAGGAAAACTGTTTCCTCGAGTTTGGTGCGCGCGAAGGCAGCGAGTGCCGCGCCGAGATTAAAAGACAGAGAGAAGAAGGAGTAGCAGGCAATACAAACACCCGCTAACCGGACAATAATCAGCAGCGCAACATCAAAGGCGCCGCCGTGCCCACGGCTCCGACAATAGAGCGAGAGGGATAGGTGGGATATTATCTTATATTATGTCTGTGTTCGCTGATGATTTTTATTATGTATTTGTGCGCTCGGCGGCGGCTCACGGCCGGACTAATAGACAAAGCGCCGGCCGCGCGCGGCTACAGGGTTAATTTTCTCCTTGTGTCCGGCAGCGCAGTCAGTTTATAACAAATTATGCGGGAAAATGCGGTGCGCCTCAAATTCTTCAGCGCTGAAATATTGTGTTTGTGACTCATTTTTCTCTTTGCAATTAGCTGTAGCCGTGGGAAATATTTCTGTTATTTTTTAGCAAATTTTATTCATGTGTTATGATTGATTACTTTAAAAATTTTTATACAAATCATCAGACGTTAAGTTAAAACAAAAATTAATTCTTTAATACTAAATCCAAATAATTATAGGAGTAATTTATATATATATATATGTCTTTTAGAATTTTCTTAAATTAATAGCGTATTTCAAAAATAGTAAGCGAAATTAATTTTTTTCCTAGCAAAATAAACAAGAGCGCATTTTGGTGCTCAATTTTTTAAATTAATACCTCATGAAAAATCCTTTTGCAAAGGCAACCAAAAAATGAAAATCTTAAATTTCACAGGGAAATTAATAGAAATCCAACTATTTGCAAGCAAAGCTTGGTGCGGAAAACTGAAATAATTTATATAATAAGAGACACCGCCCTCGCAATATTATACTCGACAAGATATTATACCCTTTCCTTCCACGCAGCATAAATGCATGTGTGCGGCGATCAAAAAGCCGGCGCCTTTGATGTGCTCGGTACCTTCAGAGAGAGCGCCTGATGTTGATGAATGGCAGCCGCGCGCAATCGCTCCATTTCTGGTGTCCGACTCGCTTCAAATAAACAATGCACATTTGAATGATAATGAAAATGAATAAATGCACTCAACTTGCAATTAAATAATGCAGAGAACGACAAGCCTGCAGCTGCGTATTACACATTGCACTCTCTGCAAAGATTTTAGAGATAGCAAATAATTATTTTATTTGCCTTGTTCAATTATTTTTTTTTAATAATCATTTTAATATTCAAAGCTCAGTAGCATAAACAGTATTTTGAACAATTAATCAGAAATTTTCACGTATTTTTGGAGACCAATTTTAATTTGTGTTTTGCACAAGTCACATTAGATTTTCAAAGTTTTCAAAAGTAATAAAGTTTTTAAGATATTAATTTGAATATTATGCCACTTTAAAAATTGCACCTCTTTTATATTTTTTCTTTTTATCTATAATATTTTTTATTTGCCTAATTTTTATATCTCTTTTATGAATTTGGTATATCTTGGGTTTTTATACATAATTGTTTCCTGAATATTTTTGTTAGTATTAATTTGTCATAATCGCCGATGGAAGAAAAAATAATATGCGAGAAACCGTTTTCCCGAACTCTGTGCCTACAGCACTCACGGGCGCGCGCCGCTCTCTCTGTGTGGATTAAAAGCGCTGCCTTTTCTCGTGTTTCTTTTTGATCTTCCCGCCGCGCACACAACATTTCCCTTGATTAATTTTAGTAGCAGGAAAATTAATTTCTGCTCTTCATATTGTGCTCTTCTGCGTAGTGCTTTAAAATTTACTGGATGCTTGGATATTATATGAGTATGTGAGTGAGAATTCCTTTGGCTCTGTATATTACTTAAATCAACTTTGTTGTTTTGAGTTGCAACATTTTATATACTGGGGGCATACAAAGTCTGTTAACGCTTAGTTTTCACATTAATCATTTTAATCAGCCTTTTTTTCATTCAATTGATGCAGTTTGTTTAATAAATTATATGTGGCATGAAAAATTTTTTTTGTTAGAAATTAAAAGCTTGGTATGGTTATGGTGTAACCAGGATTATACTTTTATTCATAAAAATAAATCATTCAGAGATACAAGATAATAAAATTATTAAGATAAAATTTAGCATTGCAAATTACATTGATTGATACAATTTGACTGGATTCCAATAAATTAATTAAAACTAATGATCCTGTAGTCTTTTATTAAATCACACTGTATGGACAAATCCAACTAATCTAAATACAAGAAATGGTAAAAGACAAGAAGAATTATTATTTAGTTCTCGCCGCAGTGAAAGAACATAAATTTTTTGCATGTCAGCTGCAAGTGAAAATCTCGGCATTTGTTAGTCTATAATCTATAATTATAAAATCTAGAATCTATATAACCTAGAACTAGTCAAATCTTACACCTAATACTATTGATGTGTCATAGGTTGCGTGGGTGGTTCTGCATCAGCAGCAGAATCTGAGTCTTGCGCAGAAGCCAAGGCTCGAGCCTCGGCATCTTCGTTCTTGAGCTGCTGCTGCCACATGTCTGCGTAAACTCCATTGAAGTTGAGCAACTCCTCGTGCCGACCCCTCTCAACTATCTCTCCCTCTCTCAAGACTAGGATTTCGTCAGCGTGAATTATGGTCGAAAGTCTGTGGGCAACAATGATGGTCGTTCGATTTGCACACACTCGAGCCAAAGCCGACTGAAAATAAAACAAAGTATAAGTTAAAATACAACCCTAAAATTTTGTGCATTATTTTATTACCTGAATATTTCGTTCAGTCTGTGTATCTAAGGCGCTGGTGGCTTCGTCCAGGAGAACAAAGGCAGGCGCCTTCAAAATTGTCCTGGCAATCGCCACCCTCTGCTTTTCACCACCACTCAATTTCAGTCCTCGTTCACCAACCTGAAGAATCAATTAATTGTTAAACATGAATCCATGGTAAATGTCTGAGCGTGAATGGAGAATAAAATCCAAAAAATATTAAAGAATTAATATTTTCTTATATTTCAATCACCTGGGTATCATATCCACTTGGGAATGTTTGGATCCTTTCGTGGATGTCAGCGTACTGAGCTGCTTCAACCACCTCTTGCTCTGTGGCCGTCAACCTTCCATATCTGATATTGTACCTAAAATTGAAAGCTTTTTATAAAAGGAATTTTCATATTCTTGACCTCTCACTTAATGCTATTGTTGAACAAAACTGTGTCTTGTGGGACGACACCCATGAACTTCCGCAGGGACTTTTGCCTCACAGTCTTGATGTTCTGCCCGTCAATCAGAATAGCACCGTTGTCTACATCGTAGAACCGGAACAAAAGTCGGACAATTGTACTTTTCCCTGCACCTGACGGCCCAACCTAAAAAGTGAGCAAAAATATAAAGCTGGTAGAAATATGATTTGATTTTTTACCAATGCAATAGTTTTTCCAGGAGGGGCGGTAAAAGAAACGTTTCTGAGGACGACCCTCTCAGGAACGTAACTGAAGTTGACATTGCTAAACTCAAGAGCACCCCTTTTCACATCCAGGGCTGGAGCTCCAGGGGCGTCAATGACTTCCTGGTCCTCATTCAAAAGCTCAAACATATTTTCCATGTCGATAAAGTTCTTTTGAATCATTCTGAAATAATTTATTGTAAGTTTTAAAGGAATGCTGCAGATATAATAAATACCTATAATAAGTGCCAAACCAGTTCAGTGGCACATAAAGCTGAAGAATGTACGAGGAGAACAAAACATAGTCTCCTACAGTCAGTCCTTGGTGATTTACAACCATGTAAACACACAGCAGAGAGCCTGCCAAAAGCCCGGCACTGATTATTAGGTTTTGCATTGTGTTGAGCAAGCTGAGAGCGGCAGTTGCCTTCCATTCCTCTTTCTAAATATATAAATACTTGCTTATAAAAATACACTTGATACTGATAAAATTCCCACCTGATAAGAAAGAATTGCTTCTTTGTAGCTGTCAACTTCGTAGTCCTCGGCTCCGTAATACTTGACGGTCTCAAAGTTCAATAAAGAGTCAACGCTCCTTGCTTTCTGCAGGTTGTCGGCCAAATTCATGGCCCTGTTGAACTTTGTCCTCCACTCAGTGACGACCATTGTAGCAGCTTCAGGGATAGAAATTAAACATGACTGAGGGCTGGGATAAAATTAATAAATTGTACCAATATAAAAGAGCATTGTCAGAAAGACGATGAGTCCGAACCACGCATTGAAGGTGGTAATAAAGTAGACCACGGCCACCAAAATGTCGGCAATAGTTGGCAGGATACTAAAGACAATGTAGTTGAGGAGGCTGTTAATGCTGTCCGTGCCTCTGTCCATGACGCGCAAAACTTCGCCCGTCTTTCGAGCCAGGTGCCACCGCAGACTGAGACTGTGGAGGTGCCTGAACAGATCCACCTGCACCTCCCTAGTCGTGTACTGCTGCACTCTGATCCAAAGAAAGGAGCGCAAGTTGTTTAGCAGGCCCATGCCTCCAGTTCCGCCTCCCTGGAGGAATTTGAATCCAACGTAAATGAGCACCAGGTCCCATCGGAAAGCAAGATTCGTCGATCCCTCAACCGGGGCCATGCTATCAACTAAGAATTTCAATTAAATTAGTTAACATTTTAAATTATTTTGACGCCATTACCAATTTTCTTGTTGTAAATTGGAACAAAAAGATTTAGAACTCGTCCTCCGATCAACAGAAGGAAACAGAAGACGACTCTCATTTGCAGCATGAAGTCCTTCTTTGGCCACATGTAGGGGAGCAGCATATTGATTTTCTTCCAGAAATTCCTGAACGTTGAACCCTGAGCTTGTCCTTGCTCCTCATCCTAAAAGTATCTTTGTCAAGAGGAAAAATAAATTTTTTTGTTTAAAATATTACCATGTCGTGAAGACGTGCTGTGTCGCTGTCGAGATAATCTCGCAAAGACATCAGTCCTGGTGCTTGAAGCCCAAGGACAAAGATCAGAAGGCAGGTTACGTAGCGAGCCACAAAAAGTCCCATCTCGATGTCATCATTCAAACTGAACAAAATACATTATTTTAAAATCAATTTCTTTTAAATTAAATTATATACTCTTTCAGTTTGAACCACCACCCCTTCTCTTTGATATTGACAAAGGTGAGGTTTTCAGAGACAAAGAGAAGTGTCCAGTAGACAAGGAGGATCACACCATGGCCTCTGGCAGGCATTGAGGGCAGCATGTACTTCCGTTCGACCACAAGCAGGACGAGTGCGTACAAAGAAGAGCCGGCAATTAATCCAGCGGACATGATCATGTGTCCGTAAATGATGTGGTCGTGTAAATATGTGGCCTGAAGAACCAGTCTGCTGATGCACAAGACCGGCAGAAGGAGCAGACAAAATATCTGCAGGCAGTACAGTTTGGACTTTGGCAGCGAAAATTCAGACACCGGCGTCGCGTACTTCTTGTACACCCACAGTTGGATGGTGCCAAAGAGGAAGAGGAAGCCACTGATGGTCGGTGCCAGGATCGTGTCCATGAGACACGGGGACACGCCATGGTCCAGCCAGAACTCATCCAGAGTCACGTTAGGTGGACAGTACTTCATCTTGTTTTCGATTTAAAAGCTCTCGTCCTGTAAGAATTTTACGAATTAAAATGTGTATAAAAAGTTACGTAAGAATATTTATGAATGAATTTTTAAATCTTCAAATTTTAAAAGATTTGTGGTCCTTGGAAGAAAATAAAATGATCAGGAAAAAAGAGAAATCGGCTTTATCATAATGTAAACAATGGCAATTTGTCAGCAAATTTATTACCAGAGAATTAATCATCTTGATAAGTGGCTCATGAACGCCGATTGAAGTTTAAAAACATAAAGTATGAAAAGGTTTACCATTTAAAAAGCAAGTAAAGTGGTGAAATTAGTTCTTTCGTATTTAAATATTACCTAATTTGAGTAAAAATGCATGAGAATCTGGACCGGGCCGCTCCTCCAGTTCAAATCATATGATGGGCTAGTCACGTGACTTTCGCTGCTTCTCACACTCACATTCTCATTATGGTCGTCCGCATTATATACGCGCGGAAAAAATATTATCATTATTATCACACAGATCATTTGCCTTATAAATTTGTAGTTTGCGTTTGCACTCGTCGCTCGCTCTTCTCTCTATCTTTTTGCACTCGCCTTAATTATCTTTTAGTATAAACCATTGTGTTGCAAGAAAAGATCAAAATTTAAATTTTTTTTTTTTTTTTTTTTAAATGGAATTAACATTTTTTATTGCAAAAATTTCCAACTTTTTTAATAAACTTAATATGTATTAAAAATATTAAAATAATTAATTATTTATATTAATAATATCTGAAGTCCATGTATGCTATAATAATTTTAAGAAAATCTTAAATTTTTTAAAATTTTCTTTTTTAATTTAATTTCAATTTTTTAGTTTGACTTGATAAAAATTTTTCTGTATTTTAATTGAACTGTAAATAAATCATAAATTTTAAGTCGACAGTGACATTGGCCAATACATAATTATTAATGCTGAAAAAATTATTTTGTTGGTGTAGTTGTAAAGTGAATTTTATTAAGTTGGTACAGAGCACAGAGCAGAGAAACTTGAAAGAGTTGAGCCAGTTGAGGGGAGCAACGCAGCGAAATAAACAAAAATACAAGATCTGAAAAGCAGCCACATAAATTGTAAGTATACAAGATTATATTCATCTTCTGATTTTGTGTTGTAGGGAAATTTTCTAAGGCTTGTTATTGACTTTGCACAATAATATAAATCTGTTTTTCAATTCGCAGACTTTGCAAAATGCCGATAGACAAAAAGCGGCGAAGTCGCAGCAGAGAGCGCGACAGAGGGACCAAAGAACGCGAGAGAGACCGCGAACGCGAAAAAGACCGCGCCAGGGACAGGGACAGAGACCGCAGAGAACGACGAAAGTCCCGTTCCAGGAGTCGTTCCAGGGAAAAGGACCGCCACTCGGGCGCCGCCAAAGGAAAGGACAAAATAAAGGAAAGATCTAGAAGTCCACTTGATGGGAAGCCGAAAGACGAGCCGGCTGACTTGCTCTTCAAGGAAGAAACCGAGGAGGAGCAAAAGAGCCAGATAAAAAAGGAACCTCTGTCCTTGGAAGAACTACTTGCTAAAAAGAAGGCCGAAGAGGAAGCCAAGAGCAAGCCAAAATTCTTAACAAAAGAGGAGAGGGCGGCTGAGGCTCTACGGAAAAGGCAGCAAGAAGTCGAGGAGCAGCGCCGTCTGCAGGATGAGGAGCGCAAGAAGCGGATGGAATTCCAAAAGGAGGCCTCAAAATCCTCTGATGACCATCGGAGGGACGACAGAGATAGGGATTTTAGGTAAAACAGAATTTTTATATTAAAAAACGACTTGAAATTTATACTTGTTTATCAGGAGGCCACCTCGACCGGAAAGACCTAGGGAGGAAAGAGCTGATCGAGAGGAGCCGCAAGTTACGAAGGACAAAGAAAAGGAAGGAGAGGCCATCAAAGAGCGCTATTTGGGGCTGCTGAAGAAAAAGAGGAGGGTGAGACGCCTGAACGACAGGAAGTTTGTGTTTGACTGGGACGCCGGAGAGGATACGTCAGTGGATTATAATCCAATTTACAAAGAAAAGCACCAGGTAAATATAATTTTATTACTAAATTTTTCCTTATTAAATTTCTTTCTGCAGGTTCAATTTTATGGTCGAGGTCATGTTGCTGGCATCGACATCAAAGCTCAGAAGAAAGATCAGTCAAAGTTTTACGGAGAACTGTTGGAAAAGAGACGAACAGATGCTGAAAAGGAGCAAGAAGTGTAAGGATTAAAAAAAGTTATGTAACATGCCAAATACTAAACTAGCTTATCGCAGGACTCGATTAAAGAAACTTAAGCGGAAGGAGGATAAGCAGAAGTGGGACGACAGGCACTGGACTGACAAGGCAAGGGATGAGATGACTGAACGTGATTGGCGTATTTTTAGAGAGGATTATAGTATTACTATAAAAGGTTTGAATGCGTTCAGATTTCAAAAATTAAATTTTTTAATTATGGTTTTTGATTAGGTGGCAGAATTCCTAACCCCATTCGTGGTTGGAGAGAGTCTGGTGTCCCCGAAGAAATTCTGGACATCATTGACGAAGTTGGCTACAAAGACCCAACACCAATCCAGCGCCAAGCTATTCCCATAGGTCTTCAGGTATTGATCTAAATTTTATTTAAAATACGTGGCAAATTTATTTTCTTCTTCTTCAGAATCGAGATATTATTGGCGTCGCTGAAACAGGATCTGGAAAAACCTTGGCATTCCTAATTCCTCTGCTCATGTGGATCCAGTCACTTCCGAAAATAGTTCGCATTGAAGATGCTGACCAAGGACCCTATGCAATCATTCTAGCGCCCACTCGTGAGTTGGCCCAGCAGATAGAGGAGGAGACACTTAAGTTCGGAACTCCCCTGGGAATTAGAACCGTTGTTGTGGTCGGAGGTCTCTCAAGAGAGGATCAGGGTTTCAAACTCCGCTTGGGTTGCGAGGTAAAAATTAAATCATTAACAATTACTTGCATAAATATCAATTTGCAAAACATAGATTGTCATCGCAACTCCTGGTCGTCTCATAGACGTACTGGAAAATCGTTATTTGGTTCTGAGTCAGTGCACCTACATCGTTTTGGATGAAGCTGATCGTATGATTGACATGGGCTTCGAACCAGAGGTGCAGAAAATTCTCGAGTACATGCCAGTCACCAACCAAAAGCCAGATAACGACGACGCCGAGGATGAGAAGAAGCTCATGCAGAATTTCTTCACCAAAGACAAATACAGACAGGTAAATTGGATATTTTATAAATTTTACAGCAAACATTAATTGATACAATTCTAGACTGTCATGTTCACGGCTACAATGCCAGCAGCTGTCGAAAGACTAGCTCGAACGTATCTGCGTCGACCGGCCGTTGTTTACATTGGCTCGGCCGGCAAACCAACAGAGAGGACAGAGCAAATCGTGTACTTGCTCTCTGAGAATGACAAAAAGAGGAGACTGCTCGACATTCTCAACAAGGGGGTTGAACCTCCTATCATCATTTTCGTCAACCAGAAGAAGGGCGCCGACTTCCTGGCCAAGGGACTTGAAAAACTTGGGGTAAGACTTGATATATTTTCTGCTAAAATAGATTTTATTTTTAAATTTCAGTACAATGCGTGCACATTGCACGGTGGTAAAGGACAAGAGCAGCGAGAATACGCTTTGGCCAGTCTCAAAGGCGGCAGCAAAGATATCTTGGTTGCTACGGATGTTGCTGGTCGTGGTATCGACATCAAAGATGTTTCACTTGTCATTAATTATGACATGGCTAAGAGCATTGAAGGTATTTTTACAAATTGTATTTTCTTTATTCATCTTAAACTTTGTTGTTTGTTTCAAGATTACACTCATCGTATTGGTCGTACTGGACGAGCTGGCAAAACTGGTATTGCAATTTCGTTCCTCACCAAAGACGACTCGCCTCTGTTCTACGACCTCAAACAAATCATTATGGCCAGCCCTGTGTCTACGTGTCCTCCAGAATTAATGAACCACCCTGAGGCTATGCATAAGCCAGGAACAGTGGTCACCAAGAAGAGGAGGGAAGAAAAGATTTTTGCTTAATTGTTTTCTTTGCAATAAACTCATATTTTTAACGTCTTTAAAGGACTTTCTTTTATTCTGATGTATTAACATTGTTAACATTAATAAAACAGAAAAGGGTTCACATTTTAAAGAAAATTTATTTAAAATGTATTGTTTATATATAAAATCAAGGTGAAAACTATGATGTTGCCTCAAGAGCTGCATTGGTCAACCAAGGCATTGATTTCAACTTCAAAGCCACTGCACTGTCTTCGTGATTGCTTTTCCTAAAGAAAAATACATCAATGCAAGATGAAACTATTTCAATTTTAGTTTTACCAATAGTCGAGGAGCTCCAAGTAGTACAACAAAAGATCCTTGTTTTCGGGGCTGTTCACAAGCTGTCTGCCAACGGCATCCAAAATATCAGCTCTCCACACACTGGCAGTAAATAAAAAGTACAAAACTTTCATCCTTGTCTCTTGCTGGCTCATCCCGACTCCGCATATTTGAGAGAGGTTTTCTTAAAGGCTTGATTAGTTAAAGAATTTGAAATAAAACTAATTTTGTACTTATAATTGGAGTCAAATGTGTGCGAAGACTAATGAGAATTCCCGTGTGAAGGGCTGAAGTGAGGGTGGTGATTGTTTTCATAGCTTTTGCAGGAACATCTTCTTTGGTCAATGCAATGGGAAGCATTTGAACAAACCTTTCGTATATTGGATCAAATCCTCCACTGAAAAGGAATATTTTAATAAATGATTATATTTTCAATTTTCTTAGTTTACTTGTTCTGCTCGGACAACATGGAGTTTATACTCAAATCGCATAGAAGACCAAACAAAGGTGACGATGACAGGTCTGGCTTTTGCTTGATGCAAGTGGTGACTACAGAGTTTGCTAAGGGCTCCAACCTCAATCCAATAAAGTCCCAATACGAACGCCGTTCAATTAAAATTACTTCTAAGACCTCGACAAGTCTCTCGGAAATGTTCTGGTTACTGTCAAGGACACCTGAAATTTAAATTAAATTGTAAGATTATTCTAATAGGAAATTTAACTTTTAAAATTACTTTTGATGTAATCCAATATAATTTGAGCTTGATCCTTGGTTGGTTTGTCACAGAAGATGCAGGCCATCAAACAGACTGCCAAATTTTGGCCACTGCATCTCTTCACCCTTTCCTCTTCAAATGGTGCTTGGCCTTTAGATTTGTTTGATTTACTACTGGACCCTTCTCTCTGTATGTATGGAAAGTGGGCGAAAATGTGCCTGATGAAATTGTCTCGGAAGCTGCTTCTGAACCACTTGACCTGCACAGTTGTAAATAATGTTATGTAACATAATATGTGCGTTTCAAAAAAATACTTATTTTTGTTACATACCAATGATTCATCTGAACTTGCATTTTCTAAATATTGAAAAATCAATTGCATGATTTCTAAAATGCACTCCAGTAATTCAGAAGCCTCGTCAGAAATCAAATTTCCTGAAGATGAATTTTTAAGTAAAATCCAACAGATATTTTTAAAAAATTTCCTTCATACCTGCTTCCTTCTGCTGCCTTTGCGAGGGGCCAACTTCAACCCACGTCTCGAAAAGTAAAGGCATCAGAACGTTGACATAACCTTTCATCTTATCCGCATTGGAAAATAAGTCTTGCTCGACAAGAATGCCCGTCCCTGTGCTAAAAATGCTCGGGATGATGCATGGTTTCTCCCAACCATAAGGTGCAATGGGAATGTTGTATTCCGTTGGGTTGACCAGATAAAGACCTCGAGGGTGATTTTCCTGCTCTTTGCGAGGACTTAGTTCTGACGATGCCATCAACAGAGCGTGGAGACGACCCAGTACCTTGATCCTCCACCGAGTGCTTGTATTTGAGCTTTGCAGATTCATTGAGAGGGTTCGCTCAGGTGCGACTGAATTTTTCCTAATTGAAATTTGGTCCAGAAAGGCCGGAAGAAGTTTCGGAGCCGCTCGGGCCACTAGCAAAGGAGCTGCGGCGAGAATAGCGTCCAACATCAATAGGGAGTCCTCTTGAATTTCTCTATAATCAAATAGCAAATGAAATTTTGAGGAAGGAACAAAACTTTTAAATTATTAACCTATACAAATGTGATAGTCCTACAGTCAGGTATGAAACAAGTTCCGAGAGGAAAGGCTCTAATTTTTCCGCACTGACTGCAGTCAGGATAAAGTTTAGAAGCTTCAGGGACTCTTTCCTAACCGCCGACTCCTTGTCAATGCACAACTGGGCACATTTGCTGACGAACGAGCACAAATTCTGCACCAGAGTCTCTCCATGTGAAGAGGCCAGTTCGAGCAGACCATTCAAAGCTTCCACCCGCATACTTGTGTTGTGGTGACCACATCTACTAAGCAAGTCCTAAATTAATTATAAAATATATTTAAAATAAGATTTTGTCAAAAAAATTTGAGAGATACTTTGAGGCTGAGCTTCTTTTTGGTGACGGGTTCAGCATCGGCCTGCTCGGCCAGTTGACTTTGGATGACGATTTTCTTGATTTTGAAACTGGTGTCGGTGACATTTTGCCCTTTGGTCAGCGTTTTCTTCGCCTTCAGTTTCACCTTGGCCTTTTCTGACTTGAGAAACTTCTGATGCCTGTTATTTTTGCCCATTTTGCTCGCAAATCCAAGTCTCCCCTGATGGTACACACGTGCTTTTGTTTTGGCTTTGACGACGACCGGCTGTGCACGGACGACGGCGCCCTCTCTCCTCTTCGCGAGGGCGCACGCGCGTCCTATACGAATCGATACGGATCTTTGCGGGTTGCATACCCTCTGCTTTTTATGCCGACCAAAGCTGTCCTCTCTTCTACGCTTGAAAACGCGAAAGCTGCTGAGCGACCGCGAGCAACGTTGAATAAATAAATTTAGTATGCGCATTTCGATCGGGCTGACCGCGAGCGCTATTGTACTTAAAAAATTTTTTGACTGAAATTACATTCTCTGATAACCTTTATAATATTAAGGTACATTTTACGCATTTTTTCTATTTATATATGTTAACAATATTATGATACATTTCTTTTTAAATCTCTTGAATCTCAAGCGATTTGGTCAGTTATTCACAAATATTTCGTTTTTGCAAGAACACCTTTAAAGTTTAAGTTACTTTCTTGTCCACGACCTGTTTGAGACAAAGAGAGTAAAATACATAGATGGCAAATATAATTTAGTTAATGTTTGATGTTAAATTTCTTTTGGAAAATTAGATGGGAACTGGAGAACACTTATTACAAACGCAAAAATAATGACATACAATTCTTTGTATAAATAACACATAATTATTTTATTTGTGAAGCGGCAGGATTCAAATAAAATTATTACAATTGCGTTTAAATTTTCCCATCAGAGGTCAATATGAAAATTGTGCTTATTTATTCAAGCAGCTTCAAGAAAAAAGGTCAAATCAAAAGGCATGACATTAGATTTTGCAAAATCATTTGCGACTAAAATGATTTTTTTGATTACGCATATCTCTTACAATTATATTAATAGTTTGGTTGCATTTTACTAAATTAGTTAGTTAAAAATATAATTATAAAAAAATATTTTTATATACCTTATCGACAATCGGCACCGTCTTCTCTATCAAGGTGTCCATTCTGCATCTGCATATTGTACAACAATCAGAATCAGAGAAATTATGTCAGATTGTTGAGAAGCGTTCTGATTAGAGTAAAATTTTACTTGTCCCATTCAAGGCTAAAAAAAGAGTATGTAATCAAATTTGATCAAATTATGATATTTCATTTTGCGGCTCTTATATGAATTTATCAAACCGCAGAGACAATTAATTTGAAACTGACTCGAGAGATCAATTGTTCGCCCCAAAAGCACATTCTCCGCATGAGAAAATAAAGTAACCTGCAAAATCAATCATGCGCATTTGGTGCAATTATTTGTGCATGTGGCGCCTATATGATGACGTCACACGACCATGTGTTAGTTTTTAGTGAGATCGGTCGACCGCGCCGACCGCGGCTCGATGTGATGGACATTCTTAAAACATTTTATATTATCAAATTATTCAGTGATCGCGGATGTGTATGCGCAGAGAAATAGCTTCGTCCGCTTCGTGAATTGCAAAAGTGTGTTTTGAGCGAATTTTTAGAAGTGACCGCAGGATTGTGTCAAAAGGAGAGCGAATCGAGTTGAGACAACGAGGTGCGTTTCGCAAAACTTTCCGCCATTCTCTCACAAGGCCATCTCTATTATTTCTGAGTGCGAGTTGTGAGTATGAAAATATTGATGAGCATTAAACATCCTTTGGAATCTGGAACAGCAAAATATGAGCCTGAACCCAGCAACGTTTCTTTAAGAAAAAGTGATGAAATGAGCACACTGATTTTTATTTCGCTTGCATGGAAAAATCATGTTTTGCTGGCCCACTTTTCAACAGTTAAATTTGAAAAAAATCATGATCCAGTGGATTTATAGGTTTGTGACCACAGACAACATCCATTCTCCTCCGGAAAGTCTGGAAACTGTGCTGTTTCTTCTCCGGCCAGGGGCACCCCCAGTATCAGAACTTCGGAATATGATGGAGAGTGGAAATCTTAATATATAAAAGGTAAGGCCCAATATTATTTAATCGGGACGATCATATAACAATTGATGAGAATCATTTACCCCCAAGCATGAATTTGCTTCATTAAAATAAATTAAACAAAAAGTTTGTTGTAACAAATTAAAAAAATTTTAACTGCAGTTAAATCCTATTTGCAAAATATTTAAAAGCTTAATTTTACATCAGCAAATAATTCAAAAAGAGATGGTTTGAAATATTCAGCATCGCAAAAGTTTTGTCGCAAAAAATTTGTTTTTTGGTTCTTAAATCCACATTATGATCACATGATATTTTAAAATTATTATTTTCTAATATGTCAATTATAACTTGCATTTTACGCACAAATTAAAAATTTTGGAAGCTCAGATCAATTAGAGAAGAGATTCGTGCCCGTTATATTGAGCTTTACCAGAAATGTAAACATCAAAATCTTTTAATGTTATTTATTTTTATAAATATCATTTTTGATAATTTTTTGGCATCCAAGTCCTTAACGCAAGATATTATAAATGTTGAATTAAATAGGTAATTTTTTTATAGCAATCTTTCCGAGCGTGCAGGCAAAAAGCAGCCAATATATGGAGAGAGCAAATGCACACTTAAGTACGAAGCTGCGTTCCGCTGTCGGCAGTCGCGGCATCGATCGCAGACAAAACGAGCAGCCTTTCCTGCCTCTTTGCTGGCGCTCTTGCCTTCAATATAGCAAGAGGCTAGTTTTTTTTTTTTTATCATACCTTCATCGTTCTTTATTCCATATTTTTCAATGTATACAAATTCCGGTTGCTTCATCGTATTTTAAATTATCTCAGCAATTCCATTAATTCTTAAAAGAAATATGGGCATATATTGTTATTTTTGTATGTGCGCTTCTCAAAGAGAATTACAATATTAAATTTTTAGTTAAATTAGTTCGTAAAGAATTTTTTTTTATATTTCAACTATGAAATGAAAATATAGAAATATTCATTTTGTTCACCTATTCACAAAAATTAATTAACATAATTATAATTAATTATACACTAAAATCATCTATAATTGCTCCCCCAATAACATTAAAAGTTTTTCTCGCATTCTCTATATTTTTAAACAGCATTGTAGAAAAACCTTGCAATATATCACCTTCTCTTTAGTTTATTAATTTGGAAATCGGTCAACAAAAATATTTTGTTGGATTAAAAATTTAAAAAATCACCTCACGCGCGGTTGTTCTAGCTGCTTAATCACGCTGTTTTTCTCATCATGAAAAATAATTTCTCCGCAGAATTGGTATAAAATTGGTCTACAGAATGTTGTTTTTACATGAGGGCCTATTATATTGCGGGCGCTAGGAAGTTAAGAGCCATAGGCGAACTCGGTGCTGACAAAATTTATGCTGGTCAAATAAGTTATAAAATATTTCTCATTGTATTTTTAACAGAATATTTTGCTGCTAAATCTATAATATTTTATTGATATGTATTATATAGCATACTGTTAGAATGATTGCCTCTCATAGTTATTTTTATGAAAATAAAGTTTCTAAATGATAGTTTGATAACCAAAAATTCATACAAATTCATGACTGATTATTTCCCAGGAGAATGATATTTATTTGCAAACATGCAGCAAAGATGCTTATTTAAATTGCAAAAATTAAAAAAAGTTTCCTCAGCCGCCATAATTTAATATGCTAAATTGGACACTTTGCAGCTGAACTTTTGGTTGAAATATTTGGAAAATTGGTGAAAACACGAAACAAAAATATTATTTTGCAGAAAATTTCTTTTTCGCTACGTGAAAGAAGATTTTGACAAACAGTCGCTTAAGTAACAGATTTTTAATACACTCCATATTAAGAGGTCTTTGCATAAAAACATCCAAACACCACACTGTGTTATTTTTAATGAAGTTTCATGAAACCGTCGCTATGGGCTGCATTTTATTAATTCAGAGGAATCCTCTGGCAAGCTCGTAAAAGAGGGATGAGCCGCGCAATAAAAAGCAAAGAGCGCCGAGTTATATTCGAAATCTCGGAGAAGGGTTGAGCTCGCTTTGTATATCAAACTCGGGCACCCATGCGTCGGCCGCGCATAATTTCATATGAATAACTAGAAAGAGATGATCAAACGCAGCCAAGAGGAAAGGGAAGAGCGCATTTATAGATAAATAGAAATTGGTCTTTCGAGAGAGCGATGAAGCTCAAATGGAAATAAACGCGGCTGCGAGCGAGGGCGTGTTTTAGATAAAGGATGCGAGGGGAACTTGACAAGCGGGTTTCATTTATATATGCGGAGAATATATATATATAAATCCCCTAGCGAGCGAGCGAGCAAGAGAGCGAGCGAGCGCTGTATAATTTATCGCGGCGTCCGTCGGCGGCGCGTAATTTTCTCTCTCCCTCCTTTCCAAGGCCGAAATCCACATTTCGAGCCGCGACTGAATAGAATAGAGAAAAGCCAAGAGCGGCTCTCCATTATTAGAGTGCGCGAGAGAGAAGAGAGGCCTTCGGAGAGAGGTTTGGCAACGCTGCCGCCGTTATTACATAGAGCCTCGCTGGCTGCCTTTCTTTCTTTTTATTTCTCTCTCGCGCTCGCTCGCTGCTGCGGCTCGCGGTATATAATATACCTGTGCATGTTCCCATGACAGGCATACTAATGCATTTTTATTCCATTTGATACCGCTGCTGCTGACAACATAAAGGAATATAATATTATAGAGCTTTTGTGCCTCTCTTGCTGCTCGCGTGTGTTATTTTATATTGCAGCCTCAGCCTCTTTTGTGCAAATATCACTTTTTGCCCAGATTGGGTTTCAAACGCCTGTTTGCGCAAACAGCCCTCGGCTCGAATTATCATCCTTACAGCATGATGTGTTTGTTCCATCAAAAATGGTTTATTGTTGGAATAATTCCTTATTGGTCAAATATCATTGAAAAAAAAATTAAGTAAAAAACAAATTTCGCGAAATTTTTGCAAAAAGAAAGTATAAAAATGGAGGTTTGAATTTATTTGTGAAAAATGTCTTTGCACTCCCAGAGAAGAAACCGTACTATACTTATTATTTTAATATCAAAAACTCATATTAAATTTTATGAAAAATTATAAATTACAAGTTTTGACGTAGAATTAAAACAATTG